GAGGTGCATCTTATTCTTTTTACAGGGATTTCTCATTTTTCTATTGCATTGTGTACGAAACACTCAGGTAAGTACAAGTGGTTTTGTTAATATTTTTAAATTAATCTTTTAGCTTGATTTTTATTTCAATTATTGACGATGATTTTATTCAAAGTACAAGTCACAAGAGAGACATGAGGCTCAGTTAAATGAAAAATTAAAATTGACGCTGTAAGACTCGTTATCTTAACACAGTTACCACCTGAAGGTAATGTACATGGAGAAAACCTACGCTGGTTGTTAATGCGGTGAAAAGATTAGATGTGAAATTATGGTGATAAGCACATTTTAAACTCTCAGAGACTACCTTAGCCTTCTTAAGAATTGTCTTCTAATGCGCAAGTCACCCACTGAACCCAAAATTTTCAATCGCCATAAGCAGCCTGGCCGTATAAAGAAGTCGTAACATAGGTCCTTTTTGCCTGAGGGTCCTTTTGAAGTCTAACTTTTAGGTTCAACTTTGGAAGATCATAGCGAGTAATTTTCAGACACCTTATTTCCAGGCTGAGACTAAAAATTTCATGATATCTTTTCCTTTTTGCAGATTAAAGAGCGTTTGAATAGAAAGTTTAACGCCGTATTTCCAGCCACAAATTGACAGAGATCTGACAATAAATATTCTCAATTTTATAAAGTGATGAGCCAAAGGAATGCCTGCATCGCACCATATCTCCTATATATAAACACATCTGTAATCAGCGATGGAGGAGATTGGTAGCAGGAAGTAATGAGGTTAATGGAGTGATCTGCCAGTCCTATAGCTGTTAGGGCCACGTTGTACATGAATACAGCTTTATAAAACGTTTTCATAGTTTCAGAACCTTTAATCTAAATTGTGCTTTACAAGAAAGTATGGAGTGAACAAGGACAAATAACTTAATTGCATTTAAGTTGAAATTAAAGGGACGGAATGATGAATTTCAGTCATACAGATAGGATATCGCCTTAAAGAAACTTTCTCGGCTTTAAAATGTCTTCTTAAATATCGGGCTCCGCTATAACGCTTTATGCACAAAATAGTTGCTGGAATGCTAGATTAGGAAAACCAGGCTTAAAGGAAATCCGAATAATAACCACATGGCTTCATTGATCGGGTGCTTAAAGCACTAAGGTTGTCAACCAAAATGGGAGCTAGTTGTCATTTAAATTGTACCTATAGAATAGTTATGATGTATGTACAACTAGTTAAAGCTGACTTACTTTTCTTGTATGTATCTTTGAGAAATTTGCTATACTTAACATGATAATTCTAAACTTTGAGCAACTAAACAACTGTACAGATTCAAGGACTGATTTGTCTGTCCGCTTGGTTTTTTTACATTCTCTTCTCAGCTTATCGTCATTTTTAACTGATTACAAAAAGAATCGAAACAAGCACAGACGAATAGTCTTTTCCGACCATAAAAGAGCGAAAAATGAACATGCAAATGTTTGCAACCTCTTCTAAGATGACTGCCTGTGACACTTAGCAGCTCCTCAGTCATGAGGTTGTTACCCACAGGGAGGAGGGGGGGAGTTGCCAGATTGTCATGACACATTTATTATACATAACGAGTAAGGCGGCAAATTTAAAGGCGACCTTGCTAAAATTGAAGAAGAATGGGCCAGATTTGCCCTTCCAGACTTTGTGAAACTCGCTCTTCTAAGTTTCAGTGTGCCAAAGGTCCATTTTTTCGCACGGATTTTAAAGTTTGAGGATGAACCTTCGATTTGCTTCAATGAGTAGAATGACAATACATTTGTTAAAACAAGCAATGTCCACCATGTAAATCCACGCAAAACTGCTGCGAATTTTAACACCTTTGATGCATCACCTATCATACCTTGGCTTTGCCAACGGTGTTAATGAGCGATATCGATGGGAGCTCTTCCAAAAGCACTTTGAAACCGTCTGAACGTTCGTAACTTTTTATTTGAGTTCATGAAAAATCAATAGAAAAGGTTAGCTACACAAAGGTCTTAACTTGGGTATATACACTGATGAGGAACTATCGTGGAGATACCATATTAATCACATTGCAGTATAAGTGTCGAAGATGACAGGTATAATGGCTAAGGAAGGACAATACGCATAGCTTTCAACACTGGATATACCATATAACCTACACATTCCTACTATGAACCTACACATGAAGAAAATACTGAAATCAAAATCAAAGTAAAATATCTGAATTTTTTCCTATTTTCTCCACAGTTGTGTCTCACGTAACCAACTTGACTCGTTAAGCCAATGTATCACTTGTCGGTGAGTCCATTAAGGCAGGTCACATTCTGAGGACAGGGATTACTAGAACCCGAATTCTGCAGGGATAGATTTATTTCTTGTAGCGTTTTAACATAAAAAAAGACCAAAAAAACCAAGAGAATATGCAATCGAGTATTATGAGAATTGACTTCATTCTCATTTCCTCTTTTCAGATCCCCATACTTATGTAATCCAGTACATATATTCTTCTTGGGGTTTAAAGTCATCATGATATTGGGTGTGGTCAGAATCACTCAGTTGACAGGCTAATAATCTATGATATGATGGGTTTATTATTATTGTTATTATTATTATCATTATTCTTTGGGGATTGAGAGTGAGGTTGTCGCCATTAATTGAAAGACATTGGTTT